AAGTACAGCAGTCACTGACTGGAAATGATTTTTAGTTAAAGGAAATAATAAAAGCAGACAATACTTTTTCTAAAAAGCACTTATTAATTTTTTAATCATTTTGGTTTCATATAATTATCAATACTTGAATGAGTGATTGGAAGCATTAATTTTTATCAGCATTGAAGGCAGTATTTGAGTGTATATGTGCTCATGTATTCTAATGTTTGCTTTTCCAAACATGGGAACAACTCAAATGAGACTATGGTGACACACCAAATAGATCTGAAGCAAAAACTTAAAGAAATAAAGAAAAAGTCCTTAAGCGTGACTTTGAAACGTATTTTTCTCCTTTTTTCTTTTTCTCTCTTTCCCTTTCACCATCATTCTTACATTTCCCTACTCATTTCCTTCACCTGCTAGAAGACAACCTTTGGCTATACATGTCTAGTTGCCCCGATGACTCTGAGTCCAAGTAAATAAAAAGAAAATTGTCAAGGCAGATAGCCACAAAAATATCAGATTAAAGAAAAATCTCATGAAGATGTAAAAATAACATAGCAACATCTATTTGGAGATGAGAATGTCCCAAGCACTGTGTTAAATGCTTTTTATACATTAGTTGATTCTTACAACAGGTTCTACTTCTAGCTTCATTTTAGAGAGAAGGAAACTGAGACACAGAAACAAATTACTTGTGTGACATCATACTTCTGGCAATTAGCCAACACTGAACTTCAAACTCAGGTCTCTGACTCGCAGCCACCCCAGTGTCCCATGAAAAGCCTCAGGGATGTTTACTTCTCAGAGAAGGCTGGCTGCATCCGGCCCACACTGAGTAACAGTGGTGACCTGGGGAGAGAATTTCCGTTTGTTGTACATTTGATAGAAAGTCATTTTGAGGAAGGACTCTCTGACCCAGGATATTAGCTCCCAGAAGATATTTGCTCAATTATTTTTTTTAATTAAAAAGACATAAGGTGATTAATTAATTCATTTTACCTAACAGGAAATCAATCCTCTGCCAAATATTTATGCAATTGCTAGTACAGTCCAAGCATGAAGCTAGGAGCTATGAGAAAATGAGAGACAAGTCAAAGAAAATGACCTATTGTGGGGAAACATGTAGGTCATACGATCCAGTGAATCAACACTGTAATGCAGTCCCCTCATGTGGGGAACATGCTATTTTCTGTAGGAGGCAAAAGAATAGCAAGCCCTCTGTGGAGTCAAGCTGTCATGATGCCTCTATGGACCATCTCTGGCCCTTATAAGGGCCCTCTCAGTTTCCTCCCTTTCCAGTGCACTTCCACCACTCCTCTGCCCACTGGAGTTCTTTTCATCCTTCAAAACCTGGAGCAAAGGACTTCCCTGGTGGTGCAGTGGTTAAGAATCTGCCTGGCCAGAACACTCTATGACATAAATCACAGCAGGATCCTTTTTGACCCATCTCCTAGAGAAATGGAAATAAAAACAAAAATAAACAAATGGAACCTAATGAAACTTAAAAGCTTTCGCACAGCAAAGGAAACCATAAACAAGATGAAAGACAACCTCAGAATGGGAGAAAATATTTGCAAATGAAGCAACTGACAAAGGATTAATCTCCAAAATTTACAAGCAGCTCATGCAGCTCAATATCAAAAAAACAAAAACCCAATCCAAAAATGGGCAGAAGACCTAAATAGACATTTCTCCAAAGAAGATATACAGATTGCCAACAAACACATGAAAGAATGCTCAACATCATTAATCATTAGAGAAATGCAAATCAAAACTACAATGAGATATGATCTAACACCGGTCAGAATGGCCATCAGCAAAAAATCTACAAACAATAAATGCTGTAGAGGGTGTGGAGAAAAGGGAACCCTCTTGCACTGCTGGTGGGAATGTCAATTGGTACAGCCACTATGGAGAACAGTATGGAGGTTCCTTAAAAAACTAAAAATAGAACTACCATACACCCAGCAATCCCACTACTGGGCATATACCCTGAGAAAACCATAATTCAAAAAGAGTCATATACCACAATGTTCATTGCAGCTCTGTTTACAATAACCAGGACATGGAAACAACCTAAGTGTCCCTCGACAGATGAATGGATAAAGAAGATGTGGCACATATATACAATGGAATATTACTCAACCATAAAAAGAAACAAAATTGAGTTATTTGCAGTGAGGTGGATGGACCTAGAGTCTGTCATACAGAGTGAAGTAAGTCAGAAAGAGAAAAACAAATACCGTATACTAACACATATATATGGAATCTATAAAAAAAAAAAAGTGGTCATGAAGAACCTAGGGGCAGGACGGATATAAAGATGCAGACCTACTACAGAATGGACTTGAGGATATGGGGAGGGGGAAGGGTAAGCTGGGACAAAGTGAGACAGTGGCATGGACATATATACACTACCAAATGTAAAATAGATAGCTAGTGGGAAGCAGCCTCATAGCACAGGGAGATCAGCTCCGTGCTTTGTGACCACCTAGAGGGGTGGGATAGGGAGGGTGGGAGGGAGGGAGACGCAAGAGGGAAGAGATATGGGGATATGTGTATATGTATAACTGATTCACTTTGTTATACAGCAGAAACTAACACACCATTGTAAGCAATTATACTCCAATAAAGATGTTTAAAAAAAAAAAAAGAGCAGCCACCTCTCGCCGCAACTAGAGAAAGCCCACACGCAGCAACAAAGACCCAATGCAGCCAAAAATAAAATAATTAATTTAAAATAAATAAATAAATAAAATGAGTGATTTTAAAAAAAAAAAACCTGGAGCAAATAGTATATCTCTGTGTTGCCTTCCTACCACCCCAATGTCAGAATTAGCACCTCTTTCTTCATGCTGTTACTGCAAAGTGTACATGAGACATATCTCTGTGTTAGCACTTGACACAGAATATTGTTATCTATTTTCAAATCTTACTTCCCCACTCAAATGATAGCTACCATAAAGAAGGCATCATGCCTAATTCATCTTTTGTTCCCTTGTTACCTTGCCTAGGGCTTAGCAACATAGAAGCCCTTCATTAGGTGTTTGAAGGCTAATTAACCAGAAGATGAATCACAGAATATGGTTTGACAAGACCCTATAGGGCATTTGATTCCCCTTTCTATATAACCTGTTAATTTCCTACTTACAAAATCTCCAAAAAAATCATCATACAGACTCTGCCTGTAAAAATCAGAGCTTGAAATGCTGGAAAGTGCTTAAATTGACCTAAAATTTGCCTGAATATAACATCTTCGATTCCATGATTGGCCATAATTCTAATCTTTCTGTCCATGATGATTCTTCAAATGTTTAAAGGCAAATATATACGGTACTGCATCAGGCCTTTGGAGTAAGAGTCAGTACAGATATCCTCTTTTACAAAGGAGCCCAAGGCAATTCTACCAGGATCCAGAGCATGACTTCTCGCAAAGGGAGGCTACTAGCTTTTCCCTAGTAAGTAAGATCCAGTTGCCACAGGGAAGCACCTGACTCTATAACACCTTTACATGACACCTGAAAAAAATGAACCTTTTCATTTCATTCAAGAAATATTTATGGGTGTTGAGCATCAGTTACATTATGTTCCAAGTGCAGCCCTAGACACTGGGGCCACAGCAGAGAACAAAGCAGATGAAGTCTCTATAGTCGAACTACTTCTCTGTTTCCCAATCCTGAAAATCAAAAGATGTATATTCAGTTTTGTGGAGACAGCTCATCTGTGAAACAAGAAAATGCAAATGTTCAGAGAAAAAATGTCTTTGGGGTAGCTTTTGCATCTACTCTGTGACCCATGTGGTTTAAAAACTTACTAACTTGGGGAGAGAAAATTTTTCACAAAAAAATATTTGAGAACAACACCTAAAATCACATGGTATAGTGTTAAAGGTGTACATATTGACCTAAGTGCTACAGGAATTAAAAGATCAGAGGCTCATTGATGGGAAAGGCAGAAGAGGAAGCCAATTTGGGGAAATGTTTTTATAGTTAACAATAGCTTCTATTTATCAAGCATTTTCTAAGTGCCAGGAGCACTGCTAAGCCAACTGTCATGTGTTGATTCACTTGATTCTCACAAAACACTGCAAGGAAACTCCTACTATTTTCTCCATTTTTATAATGCACAGAGGAGTTAAATAACTTGCCCAAGATCACAGAGAGGTAACTGACAGAACTGAGCTTTAACCTAGGGAATCTGGTCCAGAGTCTGGTCGCTTAACCAATACACTCTATTGCCTCTCAGCATTCTCACAAATTCACGTTAACTCATGGCCAGGAGCAGACAATCCTCCCTCAATGATGACACAATGGCTTCCTAGAAGTGAATCAGGATCCGATGGAGAGAGGAGGGATGATTCTCCATGCCTACGTTTCCACCACACACCCTCTCTCTTCCACTGGTGACCAAGCACTGGCAGCAGGTAGAAGGATGGACAGCACAGCCGGAGCCCTGGCAGGATGCTAGGGGCTGGGACTGGCCCGGGCAGTGCTGCAGCAGCACCTGTGGTGGTCGTGGTATCTTCGGTCCTCATCCCAACTCCGCTCCACCAGCTGCTGTGAGGCCTTGTGTCACGACACTACACCAATCTGAGCTTCAGCTTCATATGTTTATGAAACACCACGTTTGACAAGGTGATCATTTCCTGGTCTGCTGCTCTGTTCCACTCTACGGGGAGTGGAGGGAGGCTAGAGGTAGCAGCACAGTCCCGAATGCAAAACTCCATCCACTAAAGGATCCGATTTCAGCCACTCTGCCAAAAGCTACAGTCTTGACAACAGTCATACTATAATTTAGAACCAGCTCCGAGTGAGGGGGTGGGAACATACCAAGCACAGGGTTAAACCAGTGACCTGAACACTTCTCTTCTCACATTCACAGCACCAGAAACCAGCTACAGAGGATTCGAATGGAGCAAATCCCTTAATCTTTCAAATTCTTTTTCCTGATTTGCTAGAGCAGCCAAGGATGGGGTGGGGCTTTCACTTGTGAATAAAAGGTTCTGCTTCATTGTCCCCATGCGGGAGAGCATGGCCAAGCGAGTTGCAACTGTAGGAGCTGGGGTCAGTGGCCTGGCCTCCATCAAGCGCTGTCCGGAAGAAGGACTAGAGCCCACCTGCTTCGAGAGGAGCGACGACCTTGGGGGGCTGTGGAGATTCACCGTAAGTGGGGCTTCGACAGCTTTGTTGTGTGTCTGTTGGAAAAGGGCTGGACTGGCGCAAAAAGAGATTGAATTTCTTCCACAAGGGCTGGTGCCCATAGGCGCCAGAACATCTGCTGAACAGGGGGACAGAAAGGGCCATTGAAAATGATTTAAAAAAAGAAGCAGGGAATAGCCTGAATTTGGGTGGGAGGTGCATCAGCCACCTTGCAAACTTCATCCGGGGCCAAGAGGAATAAAGATGCCTATGAAGGGTAGAAGAGGATGGGGTGGCTGGGACAAGCCAGGAAAACTCAGGACAAGCAGGGCAGGAGCAGAACCTGGGGGTCAGAAGCAAGAGACTCGAGTGTTGGGGGCAATGGTATAAACACAGCACAGGAATTTCTGCCTCTGCCTGAAAGACTGAGCTGCTTATACATGCTTCTTTTTCCAGCTCTGCTCTATCTGAAGTAAAGCGACACAAGACTCAGTGTAGGATGAGTCCTATACTCAAGGTCTTGTTGTCCAGGCAATTCCAATCCATGTCAAGAACAATCAGAAGTGAAGGATGTGAGGAGTCTGGAGACTTTTTTGTTGCCTGAGCAAAAAAAATAATAATATTCTCAGGACTACAGTATGCATTGGAGAGGGAAAAGGGGTGAGGTAGGAGGAAAGGCAACTATAAAGACCACCCTTGACCGGCCTGGGGTCCAGGGAAACCACAGGGGCCCTGCTGGAGGCCACTGAAACCCTGTGAGCTCCACGGCTCAGCCAGGGAGTCATTTGCATCAGATCTCCCCAAACCTCCTATTTTCCCTTCTTCTCAGGAGAGCAGGAACATATCCCGTGAGCTTTAAATGTGCTAAGGAGAAAGCAGTCAGGAAGAATGAAAAGGAGCGAGGTGTCAGATATCCTGGCCTCAGAGTCCTAAGAGACTGAGAGAAAGCAACACTTAGCATTCCCTTATTATAGAAGGGTAGAACTTGGAACAGGAATAAAGTAATTATTTTCTAATTCAGTGAGCAAAGCTCCAGAGAGGCCAAGGTTCCTAGTTTAGTCCCAGCATAGACCAGCTTGGCTCACATAAAGAAGAACTGCATATCTTGAAATGTGTCCAACCACCAAATGTGACCGTCAATGCACAGAGACCTCCCCAAGGGGCCTAGGGAAAAAAGAACATCTGTTCCCATGATTCAAACCACATACATTCCAAAAGGGGGGCAGAAACCTGACACAAATGCCATAACTCTAGCCTCTCATGCCCATTGAAAACATTGCTAATCAAACACTATACCCTTCCCCTAATGAGCCTCAGAATCCTTCTTAACACAGTATTCCAGATAAGTACTACTACTCCATTGGGGTTGAGGGTTAGCTTCCAGGATAAAACTGCCAGAGTAGAGTTACTTGGTTAAAGTAATCTCAATCAAAGCAAAAAGTAAGCCCAGAGACCTTGGCATACCAGACAAAAATGCTCCTAATATAAATCACAGATACCCAATTATTAACACACACACACACAAAAACTATTAATGTAAGAATCAAGAGAAATGAGTTCTAGATACAGCTGTGCCCAACTGGCTGTGTGATTGGGCAGGTCAAACACCTATGCACAAAGAGCTGTGACGGACACGAAAATGAGAAACAGTCATCCTGCCTCAGGGAGCTGTCAGTCTGATGGGAAAAGGGCAGGATCTTGTAAGTCAGAAACGATGCTGTGGGTATTTAAGTGAGGTCAGGATTACATTCACTTGAGGGAAGCCAAGAAAGGCTTCATGGAGGAGATGGTGTGTGGTGGACTTTGAAGGATTTCAACAGGCAAATGATATTGAGTGGGAGATGCCAGGGAGGAAACCGTAAAGAAAAAGTACTGGGCATGCTTGGAAAATAAAAAGAGCTTATTGGTGTGTGTGGTGCTTGTAAGAGAAATAATGAAAGGGGAGGACAGTGGCTGAATGTTTGGGCAAGGGATTCGTACTCAATTTAGAAAGCAATGGATGATGAGCAGAGTTAAGATGTCTTTCTGTTGTTGTGTTTGTTTTGTTTGCATGATAGGAAGACCCATATATGTTTACAGTTAAAGAGAAAATATCTGGATGATAGGAAATGATTGAATATGTAAGCCCAAATTGAGACAAGATCCTGGCAAAAAAAGGAAGAAGTGGAATTGCAGGCCCAAGTGGAAGGATCTGCCTCGGAAAAGTGGAGACGCACACTTTTCTCAGAGACAGAAGGGGAAGGAAAAAGAAAAATAGAGGCCCTTGTGAGGCACGTGATAGGACATCAAAAGGATGAGAAAGAGGGTGACCCAGCAGTAGCCTAAGTAAAATGGTACCCAGTTAACAACTTGTTTCAGTCCCCATTACCTCATCTGTAAAGTAAGAACGCAGAGTCAGTTTAAAAAATAGACAAGAGCTAAATTACTAGGTCCTGGGAGGCAGGGAAAACCATCGCCACCTTCATTCAGCAGCCCTCTCTTGACACAGCAGCCTCTTTAAGGCACCTCTGTACTACCTTGAGATTCCTCTAAAGCCTGATTGAAAATCTCTAAACTAAGTGACCTTAAAGGGGACTTCCAGATCTAAAATGCTATGACTCTCCTGGGTCTTTCTAGAGACATCCCTTCCCCCTTCTACCCCAGCAGATACACACACACAAACACACACACATGCACGCATGCACACACACACCATGAAAGACTGTTAGAGGTGTCTTTGCAATCAAAGCAAGTGGCCCATTCAAAACCTGCAGAATTACAGAGTCTGCTCGGGCAAGGGCTGTGCTTACCAGAAATGTACGAGGGGGATCCTTAGTGCCTGTTCTGGGTGAAAGGGGCCATAATGCAAAAATAGACAGGCAAACTGCAGAAACCCAATAAAACACATACAGAGAAGGTTTCCATTTACAAATAGAGAGATTCCCCCAACGTTACAGAGATTATAAACTACTGCACTTAATTCGATACTCACACGGGCAAAACTCTGGCCTCTTCCAGACCACAGTCTTAAAATGAGAGGAAGCAGACAAAGGTTGCAATGGAAAAGAAAGTCCATCCTTCATTGGGGCCGGGGAGGGGTTGGCATCGTTTAAAAAGAAAAGGGATACATTGATAAAGAACCCACCTGTGACCACCAACTCAAGTGGCAGCAGGAGGTTAAGTGTGGAACATCTGTTCCACAACCAACTCTCTCAGGCTCGTGAGAGGAAAGGGAGGCTTAGAACAAACAGTAATGATATTGGCTGATTATCTCGATTGTAGAGGAATACCTGAAGAAATAAAATGTCAGGAATTGTTCTGTCACTCATAACTAATATTACTCTTAGAGAATTTTAGTATAGGAAGGAGCCTTGAGAAACAGCCTTAATGTAGAACCACACTGACATCCTCTAGAAGTAATTATACTACGCTGATAGAAACACATTCTGCTTCACCCATCACATCTCTGTAACAATAACCCTCCCTGGAATGACGTGCTCCCTTACGCGCATCGAGGTCTTTTCTTCTGCACATGTAACCTTTCACTTATTCCACATTTATTGAGCACCTACTATGCACCTCATGTACCACATATTTTTAGATTCAGTGAGGGCAATGACGAAGTGTAATACTTCACCCCCTTAAATCACTAAGGAATTCTTCTTCAGCTATTTCTTCTTTAGGCACGTTAAGCCTGATTCTTACAGGGGCTGAAATGATTTGTTAATTGGGTACCATTTTACTTCTTCTTAAAAGTCTTATTTCTAAAAGTTCAGTAATCTTAGTAGCTTTCCTTTTATTCATATATTAAACAAACATTTATCGAATTCATATTATCTTGGAGGGGATATACCTCACAGGCCCCTAACCTCTTGGGGGTTCCTCAAATCTCCTCTGAGGTTTCCACAGTTCCCCTGTGCTGTAGATCTGAACACAGATCTACAGACTCTGGACAGATTGTAGACAGTCTGACTCTCCATAGGGAGAGGAAGTGACAAAGTAAAATGTGTTCCGGCTGTTCAAAGGAGAAGAAAAGAAGGAAGTAATTGTTCTTAAGAACAAGAGCTGAACTTCCCTGGTGGCACGGTGGTTAAGAATCCACCTGCCAATGCAGGGGACATGGGTTCAAGCCCTGGTCCAGGAAGATCCCACATGCCACGGAGCAACAAAGCCCGTGCGCCACAACTACTAAGCCCTGCGTGCTGCAACTACTGAAGCCCACGTGCCTAGAGCCCGGGCTCCACAACAAGGGAAGCCACCACAATGAGAAGCCCGTGCACCACGATGAAAAGTAGCCCCCACTCGCCACAACTAGAGAAAGCCTGCACACAGCAACAAAGACCCAACGCAGCCAAAAAAAAAAGAACAAGAGCTGTGAATGTAGTGCATTGAGAGAATGTCTCTATGTATCTATATAGGAGTGACTTTTATTATCATTTTATATCTATTTTTTAAATGAGAAAGGAGAAACCTCTGACCTGACAAAGGTTTCTTCCCGTTGCCTATAATCCTCTCTGGAGGACACAAAGCTTGAGAAAGTAAATTTCCATGGTAATTTTAGAAGAAGAATATTACAAATAACAGTTAACATTTTTTGAGAGCTTACCAGGCACTATTCTAAGTGCATTAGAACTATCATTTCATTTTATCCTAGGGGTTATGTAGTATTGTTATTCCTATTTATAGAAGAGGGAACTGAGACACAGAGAGGTTAAGAAAATTCCCAAGGTCACCCAGCTAAAAATGTAGAGCTTGAATATGAACCCAGGCTGTCTGACTCCGTGGTCTGTGCTGACAAGAACTATACTCCATGCATTTCCAGAGTCTGTGCCACAGCTCAGAAATAAAGGCAGGCAAATCCTGGACTGTCCATGGAATCCCATGAAGTATGCTAGTGAATATGACGTCTTTCCCATTGTATTGCAGGACCAAGTGGACCAGGAAGCCAGAAACCCCCCCATTCTTGCCTTTATTATTTTTCCCCTCTGTACAATCCATCTCCCTTCCCCTCTCATTCAGTTTTACCTTCAAGACAAAAACCTTTCCCCTAAGTGCCCCCGTCAATTCTCAGGAAAAATGTGCTTCCACATGCAGACTGCCACAGAGAGGGTAACTGGCATACACACAGAGACAATGACAAGAGTGCCTGCAGCCGGGGGTCCCAGCAGGGCCTGAGAATCACTGGGGCAGTTTGTTCACTGAGGCAAACACTGGAGGGGAGGGCTTAGGACCTGCAAACCCCATTCAGGAGTGGCACGGACTCGTACTCTCTGTATATATCTGAAACACTCCAGACCTTGTATTTTACCAGGAGAAACAATCAGTGGGAGGAAAGAGAGACAGAGCAAAGTGGTGTTGGATTCCATCCTAAAGGCCAGGTTTCCATACTCAGCTACAGTTTCTCCTCAGCTGGCATCTGTGATACATTACTTCACATTAGGCTTCAGCGTTTCCTGGAAGGTTTTCTTCTTCCTGCCTTTACAATTATTTTCCAAAATTTTGCGCAGCAGAGTTGTTGTTTTTTTTCTTTTCTATTTTTGTTTGTGGGTTCATTTGTTTTAAGGTCCCCATGGTTCCCTGACTTATCCAATTCCAATGAGTCTCTACTACTCTTTGATTTTTAAACATGCCATTATAAAATGTTTTAAATTTTTTTGAACTACTTTTATGGAAATCTTTACAACATGATATTATGCACGTCTCTACCCCCCTTCTAACAGTATGTATTCCAAATTTAGCCTTTTATTGTTGTTAACTAGAAATTGGTGCTTTTAACAAAGTATTATTTACAATGTGATGCTCTCAGATGCCAGAGAAAAGTGAGGGAGCTTTGGTCATACACAAACTGACCTGAGAATGTTTATAACTGATGTTTTTCTCCTTTTACTATAGTTTCTTCCCCTTCTGTTTGCTCTCAACTTCTCAATATTACAGCTCTTTAGAGCTATTCCCATTCTCTTTTTCCTATAGCCCAGAGGAAACTTGATCACTTTTAACTACACCAAACCAGCACTAAATTTAGTTCTAATACCTGGCTTCAGGTTTAAGGATGTTCTAAATCTGTGTTGTCCAATAAGGTAGCCACCAACCACATGTAACTGTGGAATGCCGTTGATTCGAATAAGGAACTGAATTTTTTATTTAATTTAGTTTTAATTCATTTTAATTTTAAAACCAATACTCAATTCAGTTATTGGAGAATTTTTAAGTGTATTTGTTAACAATTTGGATATGTAAATCCACTTTTTCCAGTGAAAATTTAGCATTTGGATTCAGATGTGTAAAATATATACTAGATTTAGAAGGCTTAATATAAGAAAAAAGTTTTAATACGTCATTAATAATTTTTATATTGATTACACGTTGAAACTATAAAATTTTGGATATATTGAGTAAAATAAAATACACCATTAAAATTAATTTCATCTGTTCCTTTTTACCTTTTTTAGTGTGGCTATTGGAAATTTTTAAAGTGCATGTGTGGCCTGCATCACATTCCTATCGGCAAGACAGCTCTAAAGTCTTGTTATTCAAAGCGTGGTCCGTGACCCAGCAGCATCTGCATGGGAGCTTGTGAGAAATACAGAATCGCAGGCTCACCCAGACCTACTAAGTCAGCATCTACATGTTAATAAGATTCCCCGAGCAATTCTTAACAAGATTTAGAAGGACAAATCTAGAGAGCTGTGCTTCTCAAACTGTGGAGAAGAATCGGGTTTGTTTTAATTTCCAAGAAATTACAGACAATCATATTTGTAAAATATAATAAAATGAACTATTAGAAAGGTGAAAATGAAACAAAGAAAAATTTCAAAACATAAATTTAAACTTCTTTGAAAGTGTGCACGAGGCAATTACTATAGAGAATCACTATTACACTTGTAGCTTTTTGCTAAACAAAACCATATGTGTGAAATATCAGTTCTCCATATTAAACACCTGTAGGCACACTTTCACTACACACTGTACATATTAATACTTAAGGTTTATAATGCGATAATTAAGCTTGCTTCTTGTTTGTCATTTTATCTAATCTGGGCTGGATGGATGAGAGCACTCCTCCCAAGAGATAACATATATCTAAACTGTTTCTAAATTTTGCTTAACAACACACATAGTAGAGAAATGAGGCTCACAGAATATGAGAATGGAATGGAAGAAAAGATTTTAAAGAAACCTCAGCAAGCTCAGGGTATTCATTTTTTTAACTGCTATCCAAAATGAAGCAAGTAGTGCTGTATTTTTTAAATTTAACTTCAGTCCTTTATCAGTAGTCAGTTCTGATCATTTATTCTGTAAAATTATAAGCGAATATCAATTACCTTTCAATGAAAGAAAATAATTATAGCTTTTATGCACTTTTGGAAAACAGTTTTCAAACTAACCTTAAAATGTTACACATTGGGGACTTCCCTGGTGGTGCAGTGGTTAAGAATCCGCCTGCCAATGCAGGGGACATGGGTTTGAGCCCTGGTCCGTAAGATCCCACGTGCCACGGAGCAACTAAGCCCATGTATCACAACTGCTGACTCTGTGCTCTAGAGCCCACGAGCCACAACTACTGAGCCTGTGTGCCACAACTACTGAAGCCCATGCACCTAGAGCCCGTGTTCCGCAACAAGAGAAACCACCACAATGAGAAGCCCACTCACCGCAACTAGAGAAAGGCCACATGCAGCAATGAAGACCCACACAGCCAAAAATAAATAAATAAATTTTTTTTTTTTAATTAAGTTAAAAAAAAAGTCGTACACTGTAATGTAGTCTTACACGCATTACTCAGTTCAAATCCCACACAACTCATCACGTGACTTAGACAAAACCAAGACTGATCTATGTCCCGTTTATCACGAAGGAGTCCACATGCCTGGATACTGAGCGATGTCAAATTATAGCTATAAAAGTTTCTAGATGCTTACTCTCACCTTCTGTACTTATATTGTCATAGACTGGTAGTAAAAAGTTCATATTTGTCTGGCTCTGCTGACTACATCTTTGCTTTTTTTTTTTAATTTTTTTTTTTAATTTGGTTGTGCTGGGTCTTAGTTGAGACATGTGAACTCTTAGTTGTAGTTGTGGCATGTATGTGGGATCTAGTTCCCTGACCAGGGATCAAACAGAGGCCCCCTGCATGGGGAGCTCAGAGTCTTAACCACTGCGCCACCAGGGAAGTCCCTACATCTTTGAGTAGCACTGCTTTAGATCTTCCTACAGAATGAAAGATCAGGATTTAAATAGTCATCTTTCTCAGAAGCCATTTAGATTCCAGTTTTCTAGATTTATTCTGGATAAATGGGACTGTCAGATGTGGAGTCACAAATAAGAAAGATAAAGTGAACTCATCAGTTGATGAGGTCGGTATCATTAATTCAAACTACACAGGTATGTTTATAATTTTATTTTGTTATCACTACATATTTCATGCAGATCTAGACTCAAACCTTTTGAGGGAACAAAGTCCTCTCCATATGTGAGGTTTAAGTTCACGTTTCTACTTGTTCACACAAATAAAATAATTTTTGTTTCACAGGAAAAAAGAACTATACATATACAAGATGGTAAACAATATTAAAATACTAAGGACTTTCCCAATGAAATTAGAACAATTCTTTATAATACATCTAAAAGACAGAGGCAATGTACATACCTAAATGAATAACTAAAACTGCCCACTGTTCAACCTTGTAGTAGTTGTCTGAGATGTTGCTATTTGCTAGTTACCCAAGTCAAAACTGGAGTGGGAAATTGTTTAGTGTTTTGCCATGCTCACAGTTGTCCAATCTGGAAACCTTTGACCTGCTTCCTCTCCCAAACCTTAAATCCAAACAATTTCACAATCCAATGCATTCTACCTTTCTGCTACCTAACAAATCCCATCTCTCTCAGTTTCAACTGCCACTGCCTTTGCTCAGGCCCTCATTGGCAATCGCACGGATTTGTGTTTCAGGTTCTTAACTAGCCTCATTTCCTTCCTTTCCAGATCCCTCTAAGTTATCTCTTGTAGAACCAGAATTATCTTTTCAAAATTTAATATGAATCACTTCCATGAATTTCTATGAAATTCAAATTCCTTAACTTCAGATACAAAATCCTTCATAATCTGAACCCCCTTTCTCCATAATCCTTTCAACAATACCTCATGAAACCAAAGCAATCATTCATCATCTAGATACTACTTCCTGGCTCTGGTGTATTTCCATATTCTCCTGTATTTTGCAGTGATGCTGTGTGAATCTGGACAGGTGAGTTTATCCCAGGTTTGTTAGCATGTAATAAATGAAATTGTAATTCTGATTATGATATTCATAGTGGGGTCCAATATTCATCATCTTTCAAGTAACGATAGCAAATTCCATTAGAAAGTAGCAGGTAGCATACGTAAATTGTATGGTTCAACGTCTAAAAATTAACATCCATTTCATGTGTGTGCGTGCACATGCACACATGCATACACACTCATGTGCATGCACTGTTTGTACAGGAACATGTTGAAGAAGGCAGAGCCAGCCTCTACAAGTCTGTGGTTTCCAACAGCTGCAAGGAGATGTCTTGTTACCCAGACTTTCCATTCCCAGAAAATTATCCAAACTATGTGCCAAATTCTGTATTCCTGGAATATCTCAAAATGTATGCAAACCAGTTCAACCTTCTGAAATGCATTCAATTCAAGGTAAGAAAGGCACAAAACATCAGTTAGTAGTCAGGAAGTGTTTCCTACCTATTTTCTATTATCTCTCTCTACCCTAGGTTCTGTAGATCAGATAATGAACTGGCAAGATTGCTGACACCAGGCTGGATTCCTTTTCCCCTTTTACTTAACAATCACCCTAAGTAAATCTGGAGACACTTTGTCTAAGGATTCGTATGTATAAACTTTTAGTTTGCAATGCTTACAACCAAGTATCCAAATGGACCTTAAAATTGTCAAACCAGATTTTCAGTTTGGGCCAAATGCCTATACACAGGGACATTGAGAACTTCCTGTCAGCTCCTGGGTACTCTCTTTTTACTATCCCTTTATATGAATGGATGGGTGCACTGGCCTATACACAAGAGAATGTCACTATTTGAAGGAAATCTTTTCTAGGTATCTTAGGGAATAGAAAAATCTTTGATATTTTCTCATTGGCCATACCCACCTCCCTTCCCATTTCAGAGGACAGAGACAGGAGGTAGGTAGAAGGACAAAGGCAAAAAAATATATCCTCTTTCTCCTCTTTCCTTCTTCCTTTTTTCCTTCCTCTGCAAGAAACACATGAAAATCCATGTGTTTCCCTTCTATTACCCTCCCTATCAGAGATGGGGATAGTAAGGAATTCTTGGAGAATTACACAGAGAAGGTAACATGAATGGAAAGATTGCCCAAAACAAGTACCATATAAGATTCACATTCACAACCTTAAAAGTACTCCTGATCAAAATGAAGTCACTATCTCAAAGAGATATCTGCACCTCCATGTTTATTACAGCATTATTTACAATGGCCAAGCCATGGAAACAACTGATGGATAAATGGATAAAGAAAATGTGACAGATGATGGATAGATAGATAGATAGGACAATGGAATATTATTCAGCCATGGTAAATAAAGAAGAAAATCCTGTCTCTTGCAAACACATGGATGAACCTTGAGGGCATTATGCTAAGTGGAATAAGTCAGACAGAGAAAGACAAATTCTGTATGATCTCACTTATATGCAGAATCAAAAAAAAAACCAAACAAACTCATAGAAACGGAGAACAGATTGATGGCTGCCCGAAGTAGATGGGGGATGGGGAAGGGAAATGGGTGAAGGTAGTCAAAAGTAATAGACTTCCAGTTATAAGATAAATGAATTCTGGGGATGTAATATACACTATAGTAACTATAGTTAACAGTACTGTATTGTATATTTGAAAGTTGCTAAGAAAGTAGATCTTAAACGTTCTTATCACAAAAAATAAAATGATAACTATGTGGAGTGATGAATGTTAACTAAACTTATTGTGGTAATCATTTTACAATATACACATATGTCAAATCATTAGGTTGTACACTTTAAACTTATATGGTGTTATATGTCAGTTATATCTCAATAAAACTGGAAAAAAATAAAGGTACTCCAGTTGTCCAAAGAATATTTCACCCCACTTCCTTATTTTCCAAGGGACAGAATAAAAATAAAACACTACCATAGTCAATGGATATAGTCCACAAAAAATATATTTAATGCATCAGAATTTCTAAATCTGAAGCATTTCCTTTACTACCTGTTTCCCAAGCCTGTTTTAAAATAACTTTAAAAAACTAGATGTTCACCAAAGTCTTAAGAAAGTACACATAAGCAGCTGTCTGTAAGAGGTTTTGTTTTTCCTTCCTCTCTATACATTCCAAATTTTCAATGATGAACACATTATTTTCAAGATAAAAATAAATTTATTTTGAAAGTTTTTTTAATTAACTGAAAGTTTATATTTTAAAAAGACAATTGCTAATACAAATGTAGAACCCAAGAAGCACTTCAAATATTATAAACCAGACAGTGAACCATTAGGAGGGACTTGAGAAGTCTGTCTTCTTTGAAAACTGAAGAGGAAAGCAAGGCAGCAAAGTCTCTTGGTCAGTGGCTCATTTATGCTTTTAAACTTGACTTGTAAATTTCTTTTATATATTTTCTGAATCAGAATCTAGTACCCATGGATATACATGTACTCCATGAGAACAAAAATAGACCACAGTTGACCCTGGAGCAACACGGGGGTTTAGAGGCGCCAACTCTGTACAGTGGAAAATTCCCATTTCCTCCATTTCCCAGGTGCCTCTGTATCCACAGTTCCACATCCACAGATTCAACCAATTACAAATCCTGTTGTATTGTAATATTTACTATTTTTAAAAATCTACATATAAGTGGACCTCCGCAGTTCAAACCCATATTGTTCAAGAATCAACTGTATTTGAAATTTAGACAACTCCCAACAAATTCAGCCATAAAGTTAGCACTTTTCAGTAGTTCTCTAGATCTGGGAAAACTTCAACATCATAGTCTATAAGACCTTTCATAAACTAAGATACTTGGGACCAAATTTATATTTTCAATTATATATTCAATATTATCCATGTTTCTATTAAAGGAGCTGTTGTAAAGGAACTGTTGTGTATGAGAACTATACATAACAGAAAAATAATTTTTAAAACATAGAAAGACCTAAGTCATAATCTTGGTTCTATCACTCACTGTGAGAATTTGAGGAAATCACTTAAAAATTCTGGACCACACCACCTCTCTTAAATACCCCGCTACAACTCGAAGCTTAGAATACTTCCATCTGGGAAATTATGATCAATCTGATAGTCCAACTTGATTTCTAGGGTTATGCTTATTATGTTTCATCTGTTCTCTAGAACACTTGAAATGTCAATTGGCACATCAGCCAGCGGCCCTTACTGGAACCTTGAAAACTATTAACCATGTCTATGATTCTTTTTTCAGACTAAAGTCTCCAGTGTAACAAAACGCCCAGATTTTTCTGTTACCGGCCAATGGGAGGTAGTCACTCTGCATGAAGGGAAGCAAGAGTCAGCCATCTTTGACGCTGTCATGGTCTGCACTAGTTTTCGTACTAACCCATATTTGCCACTGGACTCCTTTCCAGGTATACGCTTTTCTGCAACTGACCTTAGTTTGTCTCATGGGAGCCATCCTTACACTGGATTTGTCTGGAAATAAATTCCTATTGATTCCTCCATTAAACAGTTAAGTTGTGAGGTAAGAGGGTTTTTTCCCTAACCAGCACTATCTGGCCAGTTTTTGGCTTTCATCTGTTTCAAACAACTTATGAGTACCAAAGAGCAGAATGAATAACTACTAAGCAGTTTTATGCTTCACTAAAGTTCAGTGTCCCTCCCTAAGTGACTGGCAGCACTCAGAAAGTCTTCTAAGACTTGGGAGGCCTAGACAAGTTGTGAGCCTCAGCAGTGGTACATTGACAAAGATGAGTGTAGAGGCCGCAGAGATCAATCAGTGAATAAAGGAAAAAGTAACTTAATTTTTGTTTGTTTCTATGAGTCATAGCAGTTACCTAGATCAGAGGTTTACGGCACTGGATTAATAGTCAGTAGGGGCATGAGCCTTAGAAGGCAAGTTAAGACATCTTTATGTCTCAGTTTCTTTATCTGGCTTTTGTAACATGATTCATGGTAATCTATGTCAAATTTCTATTGGATTACAACTCAGAGGGAATAGAAAATTCAATGGTTTGGTTTATTTCATCTGCAGTAAAGGATTCAAAAAGTGAAAACTTTAGGAAATTTTTCTCTGAATCATCTAAATATGACTTGTAGTGACCCCAAGGCTTGGTTCACAATTAACCCACGTACCTCTGATGATCCTTTGTCTGCCCCCAGAGGTTACTCAAGTCAGGTCAAGTTAAGATAAAGCATGTCCTGAAAACTGCCATAGACTATAATCATTGAATTGGAATGCAGTTCAGTCTTCTTCCTGGTGCAGAAAACTCTTCACCGTCCCTGAGAAAGACTCAACAGCCTCTTCTTGAACACATTCAACAATGAACTCTTACCACCCGACCCTTTTCTTGCCTACAGAGAAAAATCCCTGAGCAGGCAAGGTACTCCAGACTCCCAGGAAGGAGTACCTGGTACAGGATCACTCCAAGAATCCGGAAAATTTCATGACATAGAGAGTACACTGCATTCATTCGGCACCTACAGTATATTGCACACGATGCTAAGAATACAGAGGTGGATAAGACAACACATAGCCTGCATGAAAAGAATGAAAAGAGTTTTATAGGAGTCCAGTGAAGGAATCACATCTACATATGACCTGGAGTGATAGCAATACTCATTTTACAACAAACTCATGTACCTCCAATGATCCTGGATCTGTCCCCCAGATGTTACTCAAGTCAGGTCAGATTAGGATAAAACATACCTTGAAAGCAATGGAGTCAATGTACTCAGTTTAAATAGGATGAGCTTGGGACCCTGGAGGTATACATTCTAGGCTATACAATTAACAAGCTATATAATCCTGGGCTTTCCACTTAACCTTTCTAAGCCTCGGTTTTCTTTCCTAGAAACTGAGGGGTTTGGACCACATTACCCAATAGCATACATCACAAATCAAGCAAAAAGAACTCTACAGTACTTGCCGTCCTTCTCGATATCCATCTTACCAGCCACTACCAATTGCTCACTTAAAATCCGTGGCTAAATTATTGTTAAGGAGCCTTTGAGCACTAAAATTTCATGACTTTAGACTTGAAATGGAGTCCTCCAAATCTCACCATCTCCCTCTCTGTCCCACAGCAGACTTGCTTGCTCTGTACATACTCCCTAGGGTAGTTGTTAACCATTACAAAAATTAAATTCATTGAAGTTATTCAAAAGTACATGTCATGAGTTCTGGAGGCAATTCCATAAAAGGTGTTCCAAAATGTCTTAGTAAAAATAATAGGTATTACAGCTGGAATAAATATATAACTTCCCAAGGTAACTAATTTTATTAATTCAGATACCATATACATTCAGCTGTGTTTACTAACACAACCACTTCACCTAATAAAAGTTCTTGCTCTGTTCTCCTGTAATGTAAGTGGGGAAAGTATTAGCCTGGTAGAAGACTCAGCTACAGAGTCTCATTTTTGTCCATTTGTGGTCCAAAACAGCCTGATCCAGTGAGAATCTAAGATAATCTAACATTCAGGGATAATTCTATTATTCTCACTAAACTTGTCCGGCTCTCCCTTCCTGGCAGTTCTTGGATCCAGATTGGGTCCCTGTGCTGAGTTAATACTTAAACTTGGTTGCGTCATTGTTAAATTCTAAATGATCTAGATTGTGGTTGGGTTCTAACTGAGATTCATGTTAGATTTCTAATGATTTAAGATGAAGTAAAGAGCTACTAGGCCTTGGTAAGGCTATGTGCCACAGCATCCATACTCATCCCCTGAGAATCTAGATGTCTTATCACATTTTCTTAAAAAAAAAAAAAAAAGTTTCTTTGCACAAGACATATTACTTTTGATTGTGTTACACAACCTTGAGTATTTTCCAAAACTCTCCAAACATCTGATGTTTCAATGAGATTTGGCATCAACTGTTTGAGATATCTAGCTGGAACAGCAGCTCTAATCCCAGTGTAACTAACAGAATCCCTTTTTCTCTGAGCCAACTCTGGCTGACTCAGCAAACCCAGCTTGAGTTACTGTCAGTCACCAAGATGAACCCACAAGGATCTTTTCGAATAGGGACCATATTTTTATTTATTTCCCAGGTCATCTAGCACAGTGACAGGAACATAACAGGTATCCAAGAAAGTTTGCTGAATAGAGTGGAAGCACTGACTCACAGTTCCCTTTAACTTCTCTGCTCTTGCTCCTTGCTTGTGAAAAGTTCTATATAGATCAAATATTAGTAAATAGAATATTTCTGTCCCATTTATTTCTGTCAAACTTTGAAAGGTAATGACTTCTTACACTTTAGCTTAATAAGTCTTTATGCCATGATTTTTTTTTTAAATTAGAGAAAGGTTTATTGCAGGGCAAAGCAAGGATAATGGGCGGCTTATGCTCCAAAACCTTGAACTCCACAATGGTTTGGGGGGAAAATTTTTTTATAGTGCCATGATATTTTAACTTAGTAATCATCTAGTAAGTAAAACTAGAGGCCTATCTAGTGAGACGAAGTACTTCCTTTAACTAAATAATCACCCATTAATTTCTGTACCTTGTATAATTATGTATTCATGTTTCAGATTTTCTTAAAATTGAGTATGCTATGAAAACAACCTAAATCATCTGTCAAAAGGATGTTATTAACTGAATAACATGTATGTTTCATTCACTAGTCTTATAAATTTTCTATTTGACTTCTTTTTTTTTCTATAGGTATAAATACTGTTAAAGGCCAGTATTTTCTTAGCTGAGAGTATAAACATCCAGATATATTTAGAGACAAGAGAGTTCTTGTGATTGGAATGGGGAATTCTGGCACAGACATTGCTATGGAGGCCAGCCACGTGGCAAAGAAGGTATCATTCTTGATGTTACCTAATGAGGAGCTTTATCTTAAGACACATGCCTCAGGCAAACAGTATTTGACACCATGATAACTGATGAAAGGAAAAAAAAATTCCTAAAACACACACACACATACACTAAACATATTTTTTTAGGTATTTTTTTCTTGAATGTTCATAAATGTTACTGTGAATTCCAGGTGTCATTTTTCTTCCAAATCCAACTTCTCTGACTTCCTATTTTTGTCATTTTCCCAGTCAAAAAGAGCTACAGGGGACATCTGTTTCTTACTCAGTCCCATAGGTCAGAAAATTCTGGCAATTTTTCTTGCTAAGATCTCCCATTTGCTCCTTCCTTTCCTTATTGATTGCCACCACCCTCATCAGGTCCATACCACCTCCCACTGAGTCTATTGCGTTGTCCTCCTAATAATAATTATGGAAATAGTCAATATTTATTGGGCTTGCTTACTCTGTGCCAAAAATGGCACTAAATACTTCACTGCATTACCTCAACCAATTATCAAAACAAGCCACAAAGTAGGTACTAGTATCCTTGACTACAGATGAAGAAACTGAGACTTAGAGAAGTTAAATAACCCGCCTAAAGGCATACCACCAGCAGGTGGCAGAGCCAGTCCTCAAATCCTAGTCTCTTCCATTCAAAGCCCCAGCTCCTAATTCTACCCTGAGTCCCTGCACTCCTACCCCAGTCCATCCCCCCACACATGACAATCCATCCAGACCCCCCAACCACCAACAAGCAAATCCTCTGAAAAGACTGCTCTCATTATGACACTCATGTTAAAAAAAACTAACTCCCTCTTACCTAAAAAAATAAAAATTACAATTTGCAGATGTATCAGCCCTGCATTATAGGGGTCTCCATAATCTGGTCCAAATCTTCCATTTTAACTTTACCCCACACTATTTTCCCACATGATCATCAACTGCACGCTGACAGGTCTACTCTGTGCCCTTTCCAGTTCCCAAGTCTCTAATTTCCTCCTTGTTCACACCATACCCCTTCCCTTCTGCAGTGCCCTTTTCTCTTTTATTACAATTTAATTTACATTCCCAGATACCTCAACCCAAGACAAAATGATCTCTCGCTAGTATGAATTTATGTAATAATTGTAATTTACACTCCTCGGTCGGCACTTTTAATTCTTAGTATTGCTAACTACCTTTTATGGTATGTATTTTCTTTCCAGCTATGCTATAAACTCATTGAGAGCCATTCAGCCAACAAATCAATATTAGTTGTTGAATTCCACTATACCGAATGTTATGCCAGGCATGGGGGATACACTGGAAAACAGAACAATCAAAAAAGATTCCCTCTATCACAGAGCATATTCTCATGGGGAAAACAGGTATCAAATAAATAAATATAAATCATTAGATCAATAATTGCAAGAGTAGAAATAGCTCTGAAGAAAAAGAATTGGGAGTGTGTTCCCTTCTGGAATTTTCAAAAAGGAACTCGATTGATTGATTGACTAATTGATTGACTTGAAAAGACAGCAATTTGGTGGAGTTATCCTAAAGGAAGTGAAAGGAGGTTCTGAAGCAAAAATTAACACAGGCCTATCCATGATGACCACCACATGTGGGTAACATATTACTATTTCTATTTCTCTAACCACTGGAAATTTCTGCAATCTGAAAACATGCTTCGGCACACATCATTTCTATATCGACAAAGAAACTCCCCTTGCTTCAGGATATAATTCATATCTACCGAAATGCCATATCCGATTCTGCATCATGACAAAGAGAGGAAGGTGCAGATATGTCTAATGTCAGAATCACTGATGTGCTCATAGTTCTTGCCACCATACTGCTCCATCATGTTATAAAGTCAAACAGATGTATAATAAAAACACTAACACTGGGGCTTCGCTGGTGGTGCAGTGGTTGAGAATCCACCTGCCGATGCAGGGGACACGGGTTCGTGCCCCAGTCCGGGAAGATCCCACATGCCACAGAGCGGCTGGGCCCGTGAGCCATGGCCGCTGAGCCTGCGCGTCCGGAGCCTGTGCTCCGCAACGGGAGAGAGGCCACAACAGTGAGAGGCCCGTGTACCGCAAAAACAACAACAACAAAAAAAAAAAAAACACTAACACTGCAGCTGTGGTCACCCCACAGCTATGGATGCCCCAGTTTGTTGGGAGAAAAACCACATATTAAATCAGTTGTTTTGTATCTGCAAAGCAACAGATTTTTGACTAATTTTTTTTTTATTTTTAAACAGTTATACAGACAACTCCTTATTGTATAGGTACAAGAACAACTATTAGCTTAGTGAACTCGGTCAGCAGGTAAACTCAAGTAGCCAGATAATCTGTCAAAAGAACAAAAACAAACAAAAAAACCCACCAAAACTAGTTGTATTACTGAATTTTACTGTCAGTTCTAACAATGGTTTGTGTCAAAACCCTTTGCAGGCAACTTTCAATTGCATCCATGCCCTGTTCTCGTTTACAATTATTAGCATACAAAGTTGTTATCACCTGTTCACTGTCTTCTCACATGAGATTCTAAACTCACTACTGCCAACGTCAATACATAATTCACCATGGTGTCTAGCACTGAGCCTTACAGATAAAAAGTGCTCAATAATATGTTCTAAGGCATTTTAATACCCTAGATATTCAAACCATTATCTCAAAAGAATAACTTTAAAGTGGGGGTTAGAGGAGCAAAAAATGTCTTGTCAGGGATGTATTTTGAGGGTGGCCGACTTTTCGGTGCCTGTCAATTCACAAAACTTCTCGAATCTCTGACAGAGCCAGCCCTGTTCACTGTGTCAAACTGGGTGACCTGTTTGATTGCTTCCAGGTGTTCCTCAGCACCAGGGACCAGTCAGCCAGCCCTCCCTCCTCCTTCCCTTCTTTTCATTCTGGGACTCTCCCCTCCATTAGGGAGGAGGTGCCAGTCTTGGGAGAAGTTACTTCTGTGGGATCATGAATGACCAAGAAGGATGATGGGATATGCTTACCATTTACTACAGTTACTGAACACCCCTGGGCGTGGGTGATCAGCCAGGTCTTTGACTCAGGCTACCCATGGGACATGGTGCTCGTGATGTGATTTCAGAACATGTTCAGAAATTCTCTCCCAACTCCAGTTGTGAATTGGTTGATAGCAAGAAGGATGAACAGCTGGTTCAATCGTGAAAATTATGGCTTAATACCAGAAGACAGGTAAATATGGAGTGTCTGCTGAGAGCTATTAGGGAGAAGGGGCCTCGATCTTTCCAGTGGCATATCCAAACCAGGCAATAATGTGACAACATGACTGAAGGTGAAGGAAAATTTCATACAAATTACTTAATCATAACAGCTAACTGTTTTTGACTGCTTGGTAAGTGAAATTATGTAATACACAATTGTCAACAGCCCTTTAAAGTAAGTAGTATAATCTCCCTTTCATGGTGGGTATGCTAAGGCTTAGGGAAGTTCAGTCACTTGCCGGAGCTCATTTAGTACTAAGTGGGCTCTGTGACCTTGGCAAGTTACATAAACCTCAGATGCAGCAATCAAAAGGGAATAATTTGTCTATGACTCTTCTGACAAAAGCAAAACACTTGCCTGTGTCACTGTGTTGGAAAAATTGAATCCTTCCCCATGTCTCTCTAAGGGCAGTGCCTTCTCCTTGTCAAGATGACCTTGGTTTCAGTCTTGTCCTTTCAGTTACAACCCATGACTTATCCCATTAACAAGAACCAACGGTTTTACTTTCTCATTCATTGAATCTGTACAATGACATCCCATTACCAGGGTGGCACCACAGCCTGGAGATCCTGTCTGATCTTCCTCCAGATTCCACTCTGCACCAGCAGGGATCAGGTGGTACCCAAGCCACAAGTGATATGCAGGCAGCCCCCTTCCTACTACATGTACTTCATTCCTCTGGTTCTCTTCATCCTTCTCTCGTATACCTTGCTCTCTCCCTGCATTTTTTCCTTCCTTTTTTATTTCTACTCTCTTCTATTTCTTAACTCCAGGCCTCTTAGGGGTTTAACTCTTTTCACCAGAGCTTTTTCTACCATAAGTTTTAGAATGACAGCCTGAATGGCAGCTATAAAGAATTTTATTTAATCCCATAAACCCTAGAATATATAAAAGGAGCCTGAGGAATTTTAATCTCTTCTCTCTCAGATTTAGCTAATCCTTTATCATTTCCAAAGTTCTAAAATATATACTATTTCATATGTTCTTCGTCCCACCCAATGAACTAAGGATGGCAAATGTTAGTGTCCCTATTTTACAGACGCATAAAAGAAAGCCTACAGGGACCCAATGACTTTCCCAAGCTCTAAGTATAAACATTTGGACACAAGGCCACCCTTACTACCTCCTGCTCCAAAGCTCCTTCCATTTTATCATATTGTCTCTTTCTGTGCATTCACCATAAGCCAAAAATGGCTCGGCTTACTTAAAATCATCTTGCTAAGTGTTTGTTTTGTGATTCCAAAGGCATAGGCAGAAAAAGATAATTCTGCCCTTATTCCTTTTAAACACATGCATGTTTCCCTTGTATAGTTGCTTCCTAGGAGGAGAGAGTTTCCGGCAGTTCTCAGCAGATATAGAAGTCCCCAGTCTCCCTTGTGGTCCTTCAGCATTCAGCTCTCTCTAAAGTGACAGTGATAGCTGAATGCTGAAATTCAATAAGAGAAGCAGGAGGTAGAGAAAGCTCTGGTCGCTTTCTCCTCAGGCTTCTAAACTCTAATAAATGGTAAGCATATCCCATCATCCTTCTTGGTCATTCATGATCCCACAGAGGTAACTTCTCCCAAGACTGGCACCTCCTGCCTAATGGAGGGGAGAGTCCCAGAATGAGAAGAAGGGAAGGAGGAGAGAGGGCTGGCTGACTGGTCCCTGGCAGGTCTCTTCCCCATCCGTGTTTATGTCTAGGACACAACTAAGAGAGCCTGTGCTAAGTAATGAGCACCCAGGCCGTATCATCACTGGGAAAGTGCTCATCAAGCCAAGCGTAAAGGAGGTGAAGGAAAACTCTGTTGTATTTAACAACACCCCAAAGGAAGAGCCCATTGATATCATTGTCTTTGCCACTGGATACACCTTTGCTTTCCCCTTCCTCCATGAGACTGTGGTGAAAGTTGAAGATGGCCAAGCATCACTGTACAAGTACATCTTCCCTGCACATCTGCAAAAGCCAACCTTGGCTGTTATTGGCCTCATCAAACCCTTGGGTTCCATGATAACCACAGGGGAAATGCAAGCTCGATGGGCTGTTCAGGTCCTGAAAGGCAAGTGCATGAGCAATAGCAGGACGTATATGTTCAGTTTGCCATATTATTTTGGATACTGGAAATTTCAAGGCCTCCCCCAGGTTCTATCTAAAACAACGCAAAGTCATCTACTGTTCACCAAATTACACTATCACAGTGAATTTGTGTCGTGACCAGCACAAAAGATAAATCATGGATCAAAAAATATCAGCTGTGTCTACCTGTTATTTTGCCTGAATCAACTGGTTCAATTAAAATTAAAAAGTTCAATCAATTGAATGACAAAATCCAGTCAAGCCAGTTGTGAGGGTCTGTCACATCAAATGAGTAGTGAGATGTTCTGACACTTATCTCTTCAGCTGATGGCTTTATCACCACAGCCATCCACTTAGGCTGCTAGTATTTCTGCCAGAAGAACAGATGACTAGCTGGGTACTAAAAATAAAATATGATCCGTGGTAAAGTATCTTTACCTGCTAAGTAACCACTGAAACCTAAAGTTAAATTGCACTTTTTACTTGTTTTGCTTTACAGGTGTTAATAAATTACCACCATCGAGCGTCATGATAGAGGAAGTTAATGCAAGAAAAAAAAAACAAGCCCAGTGGGTAAGTTAAGTACTATGCATTCTTTTTGAATCATAACTAAAACTGGTAAAGCAATAGCAAAGAAAGGTGAGAGTTACATTGGAGAAAAAAGAAGCACCTGAGATTTAGAGAAGAAAAAAAAAAAAAACTAGGCCTGTTTAAGGAGAGAGAAGAGAAAGGGAAATTGAGGCTTTAATGTCCCAGACTATCACTTTAGACCATGGTCATCTAGCACCACGTGGAGTTTAGATTCTAAACCAAAATATAATTAATCCTCATCTACCAGATACTATTTTATACCTTTATCCATAATCAGCAGGCAAGCTGTTGTGTTTATCCGCTCTGACACCAGAAAGTTCTGCTCATTCATTCATTTCAAAAAATCTGTGTTCGGCTCTATTGTTTTTATTCAGATGACTACTCTAGTGCAGGAGTCAAAATAGGGCTTTGGGCCAAATCTACCGACCATCTATTTTTCTCGTTTACAATTTTAAATCATTGGAAAGAAGATTTTTTGATATGTTGAAATTATATGAAATTCAAATCACGGTGACATAAGTAAAGTAGTATTAGAACACAGCCACACTCATTAATTTACAAATTGTCTAAGGCTGCTTTCGCATTACAACAGCAGAGTTGAATAGCTGAGGTAGAGACCCTAATATGGCCCTCAAAGCCTTAAGTATTTACCATCTAGAACCTTTTGCATAATAAGCTTGTTGACACCTTCTCTAGAGGAGAGGTCTCCACTTGTGCTCTGCTCTTTGGCTACCACCAAGGGCCAGGGATAATGGAAGGGAGATGGCCAGCGAAGAGGGAGACTTGCCCCTTCCCGACTCCTAATCCTAAAACATCTCTGGTTTTATCTGTTTTACCGTTTATCTGTTTCAGACTTTGATATAAATTTTCACTTAAAAAAAAAAAGGGTCTCTGCGGCAGAATAAAAAAGTTTTAAAATCACTGCATTTAAGAAACATCACTTTTCTCATTCATATGTATTTCCAAATTTCAGTGTTGTTCTACCCTTGTCAAAGTGCTAAATACCAAAAGCACTTTAGGGGTCTCTTCTTCATCCTCAACCTGGGATACGACCTGATATCCATTATGGAATTCCAGTATAACATAAATCATTAATTAGAACTATGTGATGTAAAAGCTTCTGTCACATAGGTCAGTCAATGATATTAGGGATTAATACCAGCATTACAGGGAATTCCACCCTATGATTTTTGTGGGTTTTCACATTATACAAATCAAGCAATAATTGAGTTCTAGAAAGATTTAGGAATAGTAAAATCATATAAAATCTTTTTTTCTAGAAATTGCTAATCATTTGACAACAGAACTAAAGTAATATGAGATCCATTATCAGCATTTGGAGCACCATACGTACAGAGTATATTTTCAAGGAATCCACCTTGTATTTAAATAATACTGTAAGACCATTAGACAGCTATGGGCATGGAGGGAAGAATATAGAAGCCAGTCCAAATTTTGTACCATCATTGTTTACTTCTGGCACTTTTACTTGCTCTAAGGTTATCATTATTTAATCTTTTTGTCTTCCCCTTTATCCCAATCTTCCTTTTATAAAGGTTTGGCTTGTGTTACTGCAAAGCTTTACAGTCCCATTATATCCCATGCATAGATGAACTCCTGACCTATATCGATGCAAAGCCCAACCTGTTCTCTCTGCTCCTGACAGATCCACGCCTGGCTTTGACCATCTTCTTCGGCCCATGCACACCATACCAGTTCTGTTTGACCGGCTCAGGGAAATGGGAAGGAGCCAGAAATGCTATCATGACCCTGTGGAACCAAACATTCAAGGTCACAAAAACTAGAGTTGTACAAGAATCCCCTTCTCCCTTTGCAAGCTTACTTAAACTCTTCAGCTTTCTAGCTTTGCTTTTGGCCACTTTCCTGATTTTCCTATAAATAAAAGATTACCTAAATGGATTGTCAAATGCACAGCGTAGATGGACAGTGCTTTGGCTCCCCCATTGCAACAGCATTGCCTTCACGGCTATAAACCATATCTGAGTAGTGAAGGCCACCCCCTGCCCTTCCCTGGCTGGCTGGAGGGCCACCGCTGGTATTCCTGAGTGTCTCCCAACTCCACCTGATTCTAATGCTAGAGGAAGATAACCAAGGTTTCTGTGCATTTGAAGGCTGCTGGAAGGTTCAAGTTTCATTTTAGAAGACAGAGTTGTCCCAGACAGCACTCTGAGCATTTAGACCTCTTTTCTATTTTCATAGATCTCAACTAAAACTCCCTATTTCACAAAAGATTTGGTTGTACTAAAATGGTGCTCTTATGATATCAGCTGATTAAAAATAAAAAGAAAGAAACAGCCTAGAATTATTTCAAGTGGTCTTTTATTCTCTTTTTAAGAATTGGGGGAAAGAGAGAAGGGGATAAGGAGCCTATTAATAAAGGCCATAAAAGGATGGGAGGGTTCGATGACTTTGTTGGAGTGTTTGTAAAGGAATGTACTTGCCTGGGAGTACTCATTCCCCTAGAATGCACTCTGCAACAAAACAAGGCCTCCAGCTGGCGTAATAACAACCACAATCAGATCTACTCCACAGAAAACACCCACCTCCACCTGCTCTTGGAGCCGGCCTCCAGCACCCAAAGGAAAAACACCTCCTGCTCACATACACCTTTACAACTTTGCTTAAAGAGGCAAACAGCTGCCTCTTCTAAGAGTCAATGAAATCCAACTGGAATTCATTACAGAAAAGACACAGCTAAGAAGTCTTTAATAGAGAGATAATAAGAAAGAAAAGACAGAAAATGAAGAGCAAAAGCAAACATCATGTCAGAAGCAGTTTTTGACCAAACTACACCAACCCTGGATTCTCTCTCACGGTTGCACATGTGAGGATGTGACTCAGCCAGAAAAGGTTTTGCCTTCACTTCACCTCACTGCTGGGCTTTGATGGGAAACTTCACCTCACAGAGAGGTCCATGATTTGCATAATGGAGGGGATTCAAAAACTATGGAATCAGGAGAGAGTGAGCTCTATAGGTAAGTAGAGATGCAGGTAACGACTCATCCACTCAGGTCTGTTGAATCAATCACCAATGGCCAATGATTTAATCAATCATGTCTATGTAATGAAACTTCTGTAAAAACAGAAGGAAAGGATGGGGTTCAGAGAGCTTCCCAGTTGGTGAACACATAAAGGCTCAGGAAGAATGGTGCCCTTGGAAAGGACATGGAAACTCCACTCCCTTCCCACCTACCTTGCCCTGTGCATCTCTTCCATCTGGCTCTTCCTGAGTGATATCATCCTTTTATAATAAACTAGTAATCTAGTAAATAAAATGCTTCTCTGAGTTCTGTGAGCCAAATTAGTTCACAAAGCTACTGATTACTTTAGCAAATTAATTGAACCCAAGGAGGGGGAACATTGGAACTTCTGATCTATAGCTGGTTCTCAGAGGCACAGGTGACAAACTGGGCTCACAATTGACAACTGAATTGAGAGGGAAGGCAGTCTTGTAGGACCGAGCCCTTAACTTGTGGAATCTGATGCCACCTCTGGGTAGTTAGTATCAGAATTGAGTTCAACTGTAGGACACCCTGCTGGTCTCCAAGAACTGCTCGACAGTGTGGGGGGAAAGCCCACACACACGCTGGAACTGGGAGAACACTTAACGTAGGAACTCATAAGGAAAAACTGCTCCACTGAATATAATCTGAATGACTTCTTGAAATGCTTTTCTCTCCCGTGAAGCAGAGTTGACACTTTAGCGTTCCTCATGAAGCTGGCTGGGGAGGTTCAGTGCCCAGGGTGAAACATGGCAAGGTAAACTACCCAGGCAGCCACAGGGGCAAACCACGAGGACTCAAGCTGGAGCCTGAACCTAATCTCAAGTACTGAATACATTGTGCCACGAGACTAAATATACAGACTATGGCCAAACCATCCACAACAATAGAACTCTGACCCGTAACTTCTGCAGCAATCAGATTAGAACACTCAGGACCAGCACGTGGTCAATGAGTGCCAGCTTCTCTAACTGTGGTCCCCACTCCAACCCAGGACCAACAAAGAAAATCAAATATACTCCCCAAACCAGTCACATGTGATGACTTGCTTCTCGTTAGCCCGCCTCCACCTTCCCCATGCCGACAACCTCCAATAAGAGTGAATCATTCCCCTTTTCTCACTCTTAAAAAAAACTCCTCTGCCTGCTTTTAAATCTCTGCCAAATGCTAGTGATGGTAGCTGAGTTTCTTGCTATAGCATGCTGTGTCTTCATGCGGAAGGCTGTACTACAAATTTAACAAATAAGAAACAGGCAAGGAAACATCAATTGATTAGTCCAAGGTAAAAGAGCTCATAAGTGGCCGAGTCAGGACATAGCTCTGCAGAACATACATCCAGGGCTCTTAACTTCACCATTTAAGCCTGTGGTTTCCAATGTTCAAATAAATGGCTTCAGAAGTCTTAACAGTGATATCGTGAAAGTCATACTGCAAGGATATTGCTCCATGAAAGCATCCGTGTCTCTCTTTCTCACCCTATGAGTGTGTATGGACCTGCCTCTCTATCCACACACATCTTTCCTGCTTTGTCTGGGATTTTGAAACTCTTTTCCATCATGTAGACCACTAGTTTCTGAACCTCCACATGCATCTTTTTCCGTGTTTATCCCTCCCTCTTCTCTGACCATGACTATTCCAGATGTACTCTGTGGCCATAGTGTAGAACAGATTCAATAGAAAAAAAGGGGCTCTCATTCCTCACCTTGGAATTATTCCATAAATCATACTGGGAAACAGTTTTATCCCATTCATAAAGATAAATGAATTTAGTTATGTCCCAGAAACCTAGCAAAAGAGAAAACTTATTACACACTTCGGCCTCTTGCTCATCCTTTAAATCAGAAGGACTTCTAAGGCATTTCAACTTAAGAGTAATTTTACATTTTCAGAAATTCTTTTTAGTGTATACAAATAGTACCACCTACTGGGCCTAACTTTTTTTACAGTCCAACACTCCAGGTCTTTCAACATGCCCCCCTGGGGGGGTTGCATAGAGAACTGAAACCAGTGCAGAAGTTCTGCCACTTACTAGCTGTGTGAACTTCAGCAAGTTACGTACTTTTCCAAAGCCACAGTTTTCTTTTCTACTGCATAGAAATTATAACACATCCTACCTCGTAGGGTGTTATAAGGATTAAATAGTGTAATCCACATAAAGTACTTAGCATAATTCCTAGTAAGTATTTAATAACTGACAGCTATTATTACTATTATTACCTAAGCAGGATGCACATTTTATTGCTTGCCTTATTTTTTCTGAGCCACAGACCTAGCGCCTCAATGGACATTTCAAACAGAATATGCCATGAGCTTCTCAAATGCAATATGTACAAAGTTAACCTCATTATCTTCCCCAAAAGCTCCCTTACTCAGTCCCTGATATCATCCTCCTTATCCTCTGCAGGGAAAAAAATGTGTTTCAATAAGTAATTATGTAAAATTGCACAGCTTAAAAATAAATGGTACTTAATAAATATTTGTTTCCTTCTTTCACAGTCAAATAAATAAATAAACAAGCATTGTTGAGAGCACTCCTTTCGGGGTTATCTTATTTTGATTCTGAGAGCTATTTTGAAACTGTAAATTATAGACAATTAATAGCAATGCAAAATAATTCTTGTCTATAGACATGTAAATTATATCCAATAGAGGTTTAAGTGGCATTCCCCACTGTGAAAAACATTAGTTTTGCCTTCATTCGCATGTTCATTTTAATATTCCTGATCTGTAAATGTGAGCTTCTTTTGAACTAGTGGTAACATCTTACCAATTCCCTCTTTAACAGCAAGTTAAATAAAATCTTTAAACTGTGTTCACTTTATATTTGTATAAGAGGCATGATTTTGCCTCCTTTGAAAATTATCTTTTAATACCTCTCTCAAGGAATAACAATACTATTCATCCACAGTTTTCCACTGAAACACAAAAGTCACCTTGACGCTCTGACCCTCACACCCCACATCTAACAGTCAACAATTCGATCAGGTGTGTCTCTAGTTCAGAGAAGGGATCACGGGGAACTGCCTGTAAAGCATTTAGCCCAGTACCTAGTATACAGTAAATACTCACCTAAAGGTAACTATTATTAAATCTCACAGACTTGTCTGTCTCTTACCCTCCCCCCTTCCTCACTGGCTAGTTCAGGCCCATTTCATTTCCTGTCTAGGTCACTGATTCCTGTTCCACTTGTCCCCCTGGCCCCATCTCCCCTCACTTTTCCATCCTCCCCCACAGAATAATGTAAGGGTCTTCCCATTCCCTGTAGTGGTCATTGTAAGAGGAGATAAGCTAAAGAGCTTCTATATTCTCCCAGTCCTAGGGCTCACTCCCAATCACTGCTTCCCAGTTTAGAAAGTTTCACGTGTAAGCTGTAGACAATCGAGAAAAACAACACCCTTTACAGTTGTCCTGTCCTTGATAAGATACATTATTATTTTCAAACAGTCTCTAACTTCAGAACATTTTGATTTTTTTTTAAGTCTACACTTAGTTTGTTCTCTTAAGAAAAACTTGATTAGTGATTTTAAAATAGACCTAAAAACTCTAAGCCAAAAGGAAAAATATAATGAGACAATTAGCTTGTATCAATAGGCTAAGACTATTGAGCACATTTTCCTACAGAGTAAAAGTTATACTGTTTACGCAACGTTTTTATTTCTGACATCTGTTTTCATGGAAGTGCCAGCAGCCTTTATAAAGAGTGTGACTGTGATTGGTTATGGCCAGGTTAGTAAACAGAGAAGGAGCAAGGGCAACATGTGGATGGAGAAAGAAACTAAGCCTCAACGTCAGCAGAGGGGAACACATGTCACCAACACGCTATTCTACAAAATCAAGACATAAAAGGAGTCAAAGGGAGACATTCCAGAACATTAG